AGTTCTGCTTATCTTGTTTGATTTTTTTTCCTCTTGCATTGGTCTTACCTCAGAGAAGTCTCCTTTTTCTGCAGCTTGAATGGCGTTCTGTGCAATATAGTTGCGAAGCACCACCCGAGGATTGCTGCTGCTCATCACTCTGAGCCTTTCTTGTTTAACAAGGTGCTTGTCACTTGTGCAGTCAGACTCTCGGGCTAAACGCCTCCTGTTGTACCAGGAGCAAATAAAAGGACAATTCAGTTAAGTTTTAGTAACATGATGCCAAAAGCGGAGGTATGTATTCAACATGTAGCCATTATGTTTAATTTCTTTCTTCTGCATGGATATAAAAATCTGCCGTTATAATAACCACTATTTACCGATATCATAGATCATATGTTTTCCTCTCTTTTTTATACTGTGAGAGGTCAACCACAGTGCTGACATCACTTCTCTGCTTCAGTGAAACACCCACAATCCTGAGCAGCATCACAATCAGTCCCATGACCAAACAAATACCATGTAAACAATCCCTTCACCCTTCTGAAACAAAAACAACAGCTACAAGGAAAAAAATAGACATTGGTTATTAACATCAGCCCAGTTGCACTTATCAAAGCAATACCGATATTATCTCGATATATCGTGCTATGTATATCGTGATATTGTGATATCTATATTAGTTCTGCAGCTATTTCAGATAGGATAAATAGTTAATTTATTTGCTGCTGAATTGACGCAACTGCTCCAGTCTAAACAGAGTCTAGATTTTGTGCTTTTTTTAACAAAAAAAAAAGTGTCATAAATCTTACATCTGGGAGAAACTATCGTGAAGAGGAAGACTCAGTGAGACGGAGTTGGAGGAAGTTAGACGAGGAACTAGCACTGAGGAACTGCATAATGAGTGTATTTATGGGAGGCTGAAACAAAGAGAGGACTAATGAGCAGATTGGGAGCAGGTGTGAACACAGCAGACAGGAAAGGAGCTAGGGAAAAAGGAGAACACAAGAGGGCAGCAGAGGGCAACAAATAAAAACCTCAAAACTGTAAAATAACCAGAGAACACAACAAAATAAGAATAAAACCACTAAAACTAGAAAACATGGAGCAAAGTAAAACTAAATACTCAAAAGAAAACATAACAGAACCAGAACAGTAACACACACACACACACACATATATACATATATATATATACATATACACACATTTCCAATACGATACAGATATTGAACCGTAGGATATCAGCACAAATCCTACATACTTGCATTGCTTATTTTGTATGGTGGAACAGAGAAAATTAGAAAACAACAATTGGTATGTTTTATTAACCAATGGGTTATGGGTTACGTAAACAACCATACACAAGCTGATATAATCCAATATTAGCTTTTTAGCTGTCAAATCTGGACGTTCCTATATCTGACTGGGTACAACTTACAGAAAATTCGCCCCAAGAAGTTCCCCTGGATTTAAAAGAAGAACAGGGAACCAAAACAAAATTTCTTAACCCGATGTAAGCTATCAGGTGATATTTTAAACAGAAAAGGGTGCGGATGTAAACAGTAAACTTATTTGACACCAACATCTGTGTTTCAGATGAAAAAAGCTGAGCCAGTAAAATGAAAAGGAATTTTAATAAAAACTTTTTATATATTTCTGATCTTCCAGCTTATGAAATTATTTACCTCCTATCAAGAATTCCTATGGTCGTTTTTTTCCTCACCTGTACCTGCAGATCCAGCGGCTCCAGTCGTCCCGCTGTTTTTCTCTCAGCTCATCTTGATCCGTCTCAAGGAGCTCTTTTA